TGCACCTCAACAAGTTGAATATGACTTGTCTTAGTTTTATTTATGTCTGACTAATCCTCCCACATCCATAGATACTATTCTTAACCTTTGCAGGCATTTGCCATGTTGCTTTTGTCATAACATCTGGAACACACTCTCTGAGGCACTTGTTGTTGAGTTGGATATTGTTTATTCAGGTACAAAAATCATGCGCGTCTTTCTTATCACATGCTGCTTGTGTAGAAGCATGAAACATTTTTGCATATTTAGTAGCAAGTTTGGTTACTATAGCATTCTTTAAGGTCAAATCATCATCTCCTAACAGTTTTGTTTATACTGTAAGGTCCCGCAGTCGAATCACAAACATATAAAGCAAGGCAGTGTTTTTAATAATCTCCAAGTCTGCATGTACTTGCTATTGTTTTTTAATTTATGTCATAAGTTTTGACGTTCTCATTCTGGGTTGTAAGACTTCATCCGTACTGCTATCTCTCGTGGTTTGGGCTGGCAGTGGTCACATAAAGAGATCAGGTCAGCCAGGGGTTTTAGCAATATGTTTGTCTTTTAAGAGAATGTCCCTTAAAGTGCTGTAAGCCACTGGGTGTTTATTTGTCTGGAAAATTGCCACTTGTTAATTAGCTCCTATGCTATTTGCTGTACAATACAAAAAACTCCAAATTGTTCAACCAATGTGTACCATCTTTTTGTTTCTGGTGCAAACACACGCAAGGTGCAAATTACAGACCATCATCACCAGCTGTTATGTTCCTTATAGGGACACTTGGCCAATATGTAGTGTGTTCACGACTATTACAGTAATGCTGTAGTGTAACCTTAAATCAGCGACTGTCCCCAAACATGCATCCCAACAGTCACTCTTTTAATGAGGCAGTCCCAATATGGGGCCCTGTTCCAATGTCCGGATTTAGTTCCATGAGGTCCAGCATCTTGGGATACCAAGGGTAGCACAATTCAATCACATCATGAGATGCAATTGATCTGTGCAGTGCGCACTATGACCATGCAGAGAACAACATTATTAAAGTTGCAGTACAGTGCGTGGTGATGAGACTGTGTGTGACCACAACATGCAATCTTACTATAAAAGCTATAGCAATCTCAACAGATATGCCTTTAATGGTACATGCACCTGAGGAAATTTAGTTGTCCTTGGATGTGGTAAACCAGGGGATAAAAATCGGGGAGACCGGAGAGGGCCCCGGAAGAAGCATGGTATAGAGCACTCTAAAACCAAACAAAAAATGCACTTATCAACTATCATGTAGTTTAGTGATATATAGCCAACATATCAGTTCTGAATTTGAACAAGAAGTCACATACAGCACATATATAACTTATAAAGGCATCAAAAAGAATAAAGTTAGATACATGATGTATTTTGCAACTTATTCTTCTATGTGAGAATCCACATGTGCCTCTTTACATCTACACTTGAAGTACTCTTGTCCATATTTTGTAAAGCCATATTTGGCTGACAATGCTAACTAACAACAAAGCTGAAGTGCTTAGAGATTTGTACAATACCTATAACAGACGGCAAGTGTATTTCTCACACATGGTTTCCAGAATTAATTTGCGGCCAACCGACAAAACCAAAAATCATGCGGCTGAGCAACATAGGTGACTGTTAATATTATTCAAACCAGGTGTAGTCCAGTTACTGATACAAACATTCCACAACAGCTTTTCATCTACTGTAAAAATAAAAGCAATCAATGCTTACCCGCTTCTGAGAGCTGTTATTATGCAGTCTGCACAAAACCGATGCAAACATTCTTTAGTTGTCATGGTGTTCTTTAGCATATCAAGGCATATTGGACACATTAATTCACTGTGTAGGCTTCTAGGGGAAACCACGATTTCTAAGCCATCTGTTATTGCTTCCTGTAAATAAACATACAAAGGATCGTCCTCAAAACATACGACATTCATCATTACACTCCATCATAAGAAATTTGCCCAACTCCTGATCCTTAAAAGGTTACCCCAATCTACATGTCCACTTCTGCTTTTAGAAGTGGTCATGGAGGAAGGAATCTGTATTTGCTGCATTTCAGCTTGAAACACTGCCTATACAAAGTAATCTGCTCTTTTGTGTCTGGGGTGAGTCACACACCAGGCACATGTGATTTAGGCAGCCTGGAACTCTGTTCTAGGCTGCCTAATGTCTATTCGGTAGTACTATGAAGTATAATGAGAAACCACTCTTCCACATAGGAGTTAGTAAGTTATCCAAGAAACAAAAAAGATTTAGCCCTTACAATGCATTCCAACGCTTCTCTGAGAGCATCCATCTGGACCTCAGAGTGATGCAGTATGACAAAACATGGAGCCTGGAAACGAGTGAGAATCACTTCGCCTGGCGCTGGATGCAAGGCAAGTTTTAAGATATTCAAAAAAAAATTTCATAAAAAAAGAGGAGTGGGCATAGTTAATAATTCCCAATATGGTATTATTATACTTCATTATAAAAAAGGGTTATAGTTGGGGTAAAAGATTAACAGAAATCACATTACCTGAGGTGTCCTCTGCAATTCATATAGACTTAGCTCCCATGTTTTACTTAGTGCTTGGGCTCCGTTGATCTGCGCCGCCTGGGACATTTCATCTATAAATGAATAAATAAATAAAATAGTTTCTGTACAACTAACTACAAAACATTTTAAAATGGAACATTGGTAGCTGAATGTTTATTTTGAGCTTTCAATAATTCACATTATCGTGATTATTATTAAAACAACAACATATTCTGTAGTGCAGTACAAGCCGACATAAACGAACACATTTTATATCGCCTTAACCTCTGGGTGCAGCTGCCATAACATATTTAGTCCCTTTCCTATTAAAGGAACACTCCACATCACTAAAGCATTTTAGCTTGTTGAAGTGCTTTATGTGAAAAGAGTGTGTCCTCTTTTATTTTACAAAAAAAAAAATAATAATTAAGATTTCAATAGAAATTGGCATTACCATAAATTAACAAGAAGGCAATTGCCCAGAGCACCTGTCTTGCAAATACTTCTCATTGAGCTGCACTGGGAAGTCCAATTGGACAGCCACAAAAAGTCTGGGCGGGGTTAGAAGGGGAGGGCTTGTAAAGTCGGCAGACAAGGGTTTAACATCTTTTACAAGCTGTTTTTAGATATACCCCAAATTTAAAAAATGCATAATTAAATACATGCATGTTTTCACTGGGGGTATCTCTACTAAACAGTATTTTTTTTAGATAGCAGCATACCACTAAAGGGAAAGTTAATTAAAGGACCATTGTAGTGTCAGGAAAACAAACCTGTTTTCCTGACACTATATAATCCTTAGTTCCCCCCCACTCTCAGAGCCCCCCATCCCATTGGGCTGAAGGGGTTAAAACCTTAAACCAGCGCCAGGCTCCCTCGGCGCTGGTGAACTCATCCCCCTCCGACGTCAGCTCCTGAGTGGAGCCAAATGCGCATGCGTGGCCAGGGCCGCGCGCGCATTATAAACGCCCATAGGAAAGCATTTATCAATGCTTTCCTATGGACGTTCTGCATGCTCAATGCGATTTTCGCACTGAGCGTCGGGGAAGTGCCTCCAGCGGCTGTCAGGGAGACAGCCACTAGAGGCTGGTTTAACACTGCAATGTAAACATAGCAGTTTCTCTAAAACTATGTTTACATCTGAAGGGTTAAAACCTGGGGGACCTGAAGTGGTCTGGGTGACTATAGTGGACCTTTAAAGGCAGCAGCTGCATATGCAAATAAGATTAAAGGAACCCGATCTCTAAATTTAACCCCTAAAGGACCAAGGCTATTTTGAGATGTGACGCGTTTGAGTCCAAGGTCTTTTTGGCACTTTTGCCAGGAGTTCATTCTACCACGAGTGATTATTATTGGGCACCCTGCTTTTTGTATTATTATTGGTATTATACTAAAAGTGTCTTTGTGAGTGATTATAGACACTAGGGGAGCTGCACTTGCACTTTGTAACTAGCACCAATCCACTTATATTCCATTGTTTCTTTGGTTTTGCATGTTCTACCACAAGTACACCCATACATAGTATTTTTAGCTTTTTAAATAGAAATAGGGTTTTCTTTTGATACCCTATTTGTATACACGTTGTTTCTCAAATTTTATATTTAAAGGGACACTATGGCACCCTAACCATTTCATCTCATTGAAGGTGTCTAGGTGCACTATCCCTGTCCTTTTAACCCTGAAATGTAAAAACATGTACTGCACATAGTTTATCTGTCAGTCTGTGGCCACTAACTGCTGACGAAAGGGACCCTCAGATCAATGGGCGTTAAAGCCTGACACTGCATGAGGACGTAGACCGTCATGTGGTCCTTAGGTGGTTAAAAAACATTTTTTTTAAATAATGTAATATAAAATATACATAATTATACGAAAGGATAACATTTCCCTTTTGGGGCTTTGGAGACACTAATAACATTTGGGTCTTGTGGTTTATCATCCCTCCAGAACCCATCCATGACAGTTTCCCATTACAACATTAGGATTTTGTCTGCGTCCCTCTATAAAACACAACCAGTATTATATTTAGTAGTTTATTTTCCTGGTAGCAGAAGAGCAACTCCATATGATCAATAATAATCATAATTATTATGGAACACAAATTTAGGAACTCCTTTAACCCAGATCGCAAGAACTGACACTTAAATGAACATCTTATTTGATTGCTGACACAACATGAACAGATCTGCTACAATATTTCACTTAATTGCAGGTGAATATATACTCCAGAATACTAATTCCATGAACTATTTACATTTTATTCTGATTATATGCTGTGTGATGGGATTCTATGCACTGTGTGTATATACTGTGTACTGAGCTTCCATACACCATTTGTACATTTAAATTCAGCTCAACACCTATAATATATATAGCAGGATGCCATGCACTATTTATTCTGTCATGTGTGTATTTTGTGTAGAAAAACAAATCCATGCACGGTTTACACAATTCCATTGAGCTGTGTATATGTTGTGTAGCAGGAATCACTATTTACATCCAGCTCAGGCTATATATAGATGGTTCACCAAGATTCCAAGCACTAGTTACAATTTACATTTTGATTCTAGAACAGAGATTGTAGCAGGATTCCATGCACTATTTTCACCAGTGCTCGGTCTAATGATACAATAAATATAAGGTAGCCGCTCACAGAGTACACTATCAGTGTGTGTACCCCAATCTGGGAGATGATTCTGTCTATAAGGGTGAAATCGGTGTGATAGCAATGTATGTGGAGGTACAATGGGAGCTGTGTATCTGGGGCAGACGCCATACAGACAATGCTGTGATACTCACACGGAGTTAGTGCGGACACACACAATGCTGGGGGATGTGATGCTGCGCCGTGTGATGTGTGTTGCCGTCGTGTTGTGTGTCGTTGTGTCAGGCACTGCAGTCCTGTCCTCTGCTCGGGCTGTACAATATGGCGCGGGCCCAGCATCCGCAATGGAGCCTCCGGTGCACTGTGAGAGGGAGGGAGCGGGGGAGACAGGAGCGTAAGGGGGGTGGGGAGAGGAGGAACCGAGACAAGGAAGGGAGAAGGAAAGTACACACTCACTGAATACCTAACACTCACTGCCTGGCTCTGAATGAGTACCTGGTACTCACTGCCTGACACTGAATGAGTACCTCGCACTAACCGGCTGGCACTAAATAAGTACCTGGTACACACTGCCTGGCACTCATTGAATACCCAACACTCACTGCCTGGCACTAAATAAGTACCTGGTACACACTGCCTGGCACTCATTGAATACCTAACACTTACTGCCTGGCACTAAATAGTGTACCTGGCACTCATTGAATACCTAACACTCACTGCCTGGCTCTGAATGAGTACCTGGTACTCACTGCCTGACACTGAATGAGTACCTCGCACTAACCGGCTGGCACTAAATAAGTACCTGGTACACACTGCCTGGCACTCATTGAATACCCAACACTCACTGCCTGGCACTAAATAAGTACCTGGTACACACTGCCTGGCACTCATTGAATACCTAACACTTACTGCCTGGCACTAAATAGTGTACCTGGCACTCATTGAATACCTAACACTCACTGCCTGGCTCTGAATGAGTACCTGGTACTCACTGCCTGACACTGAATGAGTACCTCGCACTAACCGGCTGGCACTAAATAAGTACCTGGTACACACTGCCTGGCACTCATTGAATACCCAACACTCACTGCCTGGCACTAAATAAGTACCTGGTACACACTGCCTGGCACTCATTGAATACCTAACACTTACTGCCTGGCACTAAATAGTGTACCTGGCACTCATTGAATACCTAACACTCACTGTCTGGCACTGAGTTAGTACTGGCACTCACTGCCTGAGACTAAATGAGTACCTGGCACTCACTACCTAGCACCTAACACTCACTGCCTGGCATTAAATGAGTACCTGAAACTCTCTGCCTGACACTGAATGGGGTCACTGTGGGAGTCTGCCAAGCCCCAATTTGGGAGGAACAGTCTCCCAAAACTGCATTTCCCTACATCTCAGCTTTGGTGTCTTCAATGTCGCAGAAGTGTTAAAATTTGCAGAGTATTTGTGCCATTTTATCTCTACTATATATATATTTTTTTATTGTTTTTTCTTTTTTTTTTTCCCAGTGGGTTTATTCATTACGAGTGAAACTTGAGTAACTTACTGCAAAACATGGACAATTACAAAAAAATTTCACAGAGCTGCACTTTATGTATGTTGTCCAGTTTGTGCAAAATCTATTCACTTTAGCAGTAGCCCAGGTTCACTAGAAACTTCTCATTGTTATTTGTAGATGTAGATGGAAGGGATTTTCAAAATTTCAGTACTCTGGAATATTCCGGAGTGAATTTGGTAGTGTGCACCTGCTTTCATGGACATCTCTCCTTGGGTGCCCTCCTGACACCTCAACAAGTACATCTTCAGGGAATAGATGAAGATACACGGCACCCTCTCGTGATAATAGCCAGCTTAGGGTTCATTTCAAACCTGATCTCTAAAGCGACGCCATACACTGCCATTATTAACATCAGCCAGCTGTAAGTTGCAGCTACTAATCACTGACTGGTTTCAACCTTTTACCCGCGACGATACCTTAACTGACCATTCTCAGATTAGCCACTCACTGGTAAAGCACAGAGACACGCACTCTGCAAATGGTCACCATAACGGTTGTCTCCTGCTAAGGCCAATAGATGGTACACATGCTCCTGGTGATCCTTCTTTACCTGCAAGTTCAGCTAAAGAAGGATCACCAGGAGCATGCTTACTTCACCTATTTAATGGCCTTAGCAGGAGACAACAGTGTATACAATGTATACTCCCTTAACACTATTACACTCACCACCCTGCCACACTAACCCTGTAACATGCAACCGGAACACTGCCACACACTGTCAGGTTCATCCCATAATCAAGTCACACTCACGCTCCTCACCCTGCCACACTCGCCTCCTCATCTCCAAACCCAGTCAAATTCACCCACCCCTCTCAACTCTCGCCCCCTTAAACTCAATCAACCCACCGCACACTTTCACAACAACTAGGCTGGGGTAAAATTGGCACTTTGATCTCCCTTGTTGACCTTGAA